ATTGACAGCGACTGTTGAAGGATCATCTTTGGCGCCCTTTGAATCTGTTGAACCATAGACTTTAACCCCCGGGAATGAATGTCCCCAGGTTTGACAAAAATAGAACAGAAAATTTGCGGAAGGTATAACATAGTCGCTTGTGGCGTGATTTTTTCCGCTGCCTTGTTTTTCGAATAGTAACTTGAGTTATGACAGGATTTTGCCACTGAAAGATGATCAAATATCCTTTGAGTAAGACAGCCTTGAAAAGTAGTTTGCACCTCCTGGTGTTTTGATTAGGAATGTACGAATCCCTGCGCTCAAGATCTTGGCTTTCCAGAATAGATTGGTTTCAGTTAAAAACGTAGAGGACATTGCAAACTAAAAGTATGAACATTTGCTCAAGGCTATCACGCTTAGTTTCAACATCCCAGTTACCTTTATAAGTACGCTGACAGAAGTGTGGCAATTCGCGCAATTTGTACGCCTTGGTGACTTCAACGGCGAAGTATAAAAACATTGTCTGGATGGCAGAGGGCGTCGGTGAACTGGTGTGTGTCGCTTCCAGTATATCTTGTAATTTTCCGTCAAATTGGTTGATGTCTAATAGCAAGGAAGTGGTTAGGTATGCCAAGCTAAATATCATGGTGGACGTGAGTGTCTATTGGTGTGTAGCAGCATTGAAAAAAACCCCAAAAACTTTGGTTTCGCTACATTAACTGTGGCATTGCTTTCAGGTGTCCGGATACAGTAGTGGAAGTAGCTATTCGCATCGATATTTTGCGAAAACTGGGCTAACCAAACTGAAATTCGGCAGAATATTCTCCAAGCAGATTTGGTGCACAAATGCAGTCCCACATATCTTTTTGGGCTGAAATACTTTCACAGACCACGAAATCAAAAGGGCATCTGCTGATCACGCTGCCTTTTTGTAACGCTGACTAGGTTTCGCATCTACAAACAGGCAAGGCCCTGTGAAGTCGTTGCGATCGAAATCAAAGGGCATCTGCTGATCACGCTGCCTTTTTGTAACGCTGACTAGGTTTCGCATCTACAAACAGGCAAGGCCCTGTGAAGTCGGTGCGATTTATAAGGTAAAGCTAACGTTTAAAACGGGGAGTACAAACGAGGAAAACTGGTTCAAAATTTAAACTTATTTTACATTTTAAAGGCAAGTAATGGCGTTATCAAGTTACGAGGTCTGTGTGTAATGCAATGGAATGGAATCTCACAGACCCTCATTGCAGAGCGCATTTTCGGTCAAAGGTGGTTCTGTGGAAAGCGTCCACGTAAATATCGATTTTTGTCCACACCTTGCACTTTATTTTTCCGATAGACTAGGTCCATTTTGACAGCCAAAAACAAAGCCCAGAAGTTTCGTTTTGTCATCTTAAATAATCCTTTTTCTGCGCCTGTAAGTACGACTCCACACATTGGAAACTGAGATTGTTTTATGTGGAATCTCTCTTGAAGGACTCTTCACTAAAGTACCATCGTTTTTATTGACAGCGACTGTTGAAGGATCATCTTTGGCGCCCTTTGAATCTGTTGAACCATAGACTTTAACCCCCGGGAATGAATGTCCCCAGGTTTGACAAAAATAGAACAGAAAATTTGCGGAAGGTATAACATAGTCGCTTGTGGCGTGATTTTTTCCGCTGCCTTGTTTTTCGAATAGTAACTTGAGTTATGACAGGATTTTGCCACTGAAAGATGATCAAATATCCTTTGAGTAAGACAGCCTTGAAAAGTAGTTTGCACCTCCTGGTGTTTTGATTAGGAATGTACGAATCCCTGCGCTCAAGATCTTGGCTTTCCAGAATAGATTGGTTTCAGTTAAAAACGTAGAGGACATTGCAAACTAAAAGTATGAACATTTGCTCAAGGCTATCACGCTTAGTTTCAACATCCCAGTTACCTTTATAAGTACGCTGACAGAAGTGTGGCAATTCGCGCAATTTGTACGCCTTGGTGACTTCAACGGCGAAGTATAAAAACATTGTCTGGATGGCAGAGGGCGTCGGTGAACTGGTGTGTGTCGCTTCCAGTATATCTTGTAATTTTCCGTCAAATTGGTTGATGTCTAATAGCAAGGAAGTGGTTAGGTATGCCAAGCTAAATATCATGGTGGACGTGAGTGTCTATTGGTGTGTAGCAGCATTGAAAAAAACCCCAAAAACTTTGGTTTCGCTACATTAACTGTGGCATTGCTTTCAGGTGTCCGGATACAGTAGTGGAAGTAGCTATTCGCATCGATATTTTGCGAAAACTGGGCTAACCAAACTGAAATTCGGCAGAATATTCTCCAAGCAGATTTGGTGCACAAATGCAGTCCCACATATCTTTTTGGGCTGAAATACTTTCACAGACCACGAAATCAAAAGGGCATCTGCTGATCACGCTGCCTTTTTGTAACGCTGACTAGGTTTCGCATCTACAAACAGGCAAGGCCCTGTGAAGTCGTTGCGATTTATACTGACATATATATATTATATATTATATATATTATAATATACATATATTATATATGGACAGCGTTCGTCTTGGTGGACGGTCACGGACTGGATTATGGAGAGAGTGGTGTTTTGGAATAGAATTTTATCTGTTTTGTCAAAACCATTTTCAACTAAATTCCGAAGGTTTTCGCTTTCACAACTCATTTAAACCCACGAAAACCAACATACAACCGGTCAGTTATAATTCGAAATCAGCTTTACGAACAAATTCGTCCCACGGACACACTTAATGAGCTCAAGATTCAGAGAAGTTGTGTGATTTAAAACACCTGTTACTTTTTCCACTTGACGTCGGAATACAAAGATCTAAGCGTTAGTTTTTCAAAGATGTGTAGTCGGATGCTTTGCTTCTCCCCCGCATGACAATCAGAAATCTCTCAAACAAGTTTTCTTGTTTATTTTTGGTTTTGATTGGTCGCCTAAGTAAAGGCTTATTTCACGACTGCATCATCCTTACACAAAGATGAGTTCAAAAGATTTGATTACCAGCATGGTAACACTTTTTAAACATCTTGATCGATTTAGTCAAGGTTGTCGGCCATAAGCGTGACAAACCGAATGTATATTGCTGAGTTGATCAACCATCCTGTGAAGGAATTTAGCTGTTTTGCGTCAAATTGAGCACAATGCATCTGAGAACAGTAAACTCAACGGAATGGAAGTTTAGAATTTTTTGTTCCAATCGGAATGCTATTAACTTCCCTGCAAACTCCGTCCATATTATTATACATGTGAGAAAAGTTAATGGCCTGATCGGTACGGTTTTACTAAACTCAGATAGAGGTCCTGGCCGAATTCAAACCCCAAGTGCATTAGGAAACTTTGCAGTTACTCATTAGCTTCACATATTTTGTTGCCAAATACTGTAAACCTCTCCTGCTGAAAACCGAAATAGTGTCTAAAATTCAGGGCAACTTGCATCCCATCGTGTATCCGCTAACCTAACTGTATCGATCTGTCATCCGTTTTTGGCGTTCAAACCGGCGCAGTTCACTGGCAAGTCATTAAAACAATTCGAACGATTTAGCAGACTGACAGAATGCATTTAACCAAGCAAAACAATTAGATTAACTTGGTAGTGTAAAAAAAATAAGCGATGTGTTGCATAACAGTAAGTAGGGTTTGGTTCACCCATTGATACCGTTTAAAAATCCCACGTGAGATGCTTCTTGCTTCTTTGATTCCACTTCAGTAGAAATCAGTTATTTTTTTGAACACCGATTCCAAATAAGAACACCTCGCCACGTTTTTGCAATTTATCAAAGGCCTGTCATTAGTTGTAGTAGAAATAATTCATAGCCAATGACAAACTTGGACGCATTTCAGATGGGTTTGCGAGTTCAGTAAAACTTGCATTCATGTTTTTTTGTGGAATCGCGTACATTACACAAATGTCTTAGTTGGATGTTACTGATGAAACGCAAAAATTCCCATTTATTCCGAAACGATTTACACCTTAGTGTGGATTATCACTTCACTGTATCCTGCTGATCTATTTAAGTAGTATATGTATTTGTATGTGAACGTCTACAGACAGTACGCTACCAGTTCTATATGGCACCATACTGGGACTAATCCCGATAGTTCAGTCATCGTTGTTCCTCATTCGTTGCACATATATTGAAAAATACCCTTTAACCATACTTGCTTGGTATAAACATAAAAACCCAGTACGTGTGTCACGGGATTGAAAGTGGTCTTTCTAGCTTGATTTTAAAATATGGAAATCGCAGCGACCAAACCGCCGTTTTGTCCCATATGTGATCCTATCTCTACTGAAAAGCCAATAATCACTGTGTATCTGCTTCAGACACGCTGAGTTCCATCAGCAGGGCGCATCTCACGAGGCTTCAGGAAGTCTTGAACTCCACCTATTATTAGTTTGAAGGCTTAAAATTTTGGCATCAGGTGGCTGGCTAGCCACCAATGTGAATGACTCTAGTTGACGTGATATAGTATAAGCCATCCTTCTATTTGGGTGCGATTATTTGCTCGCGGCCAGACAATTAAGTGTTCAAAGGGCCAGCAAAAAATTCAAAGGTGAGAGACTTCCCGAAATTTCATGAGTCGTCTCCCAATACGGATGAAATGGATATCCAGTGTTTCTGGCTTTTCAGCGTGGACTGACTTCACTGGTTGGATGAAATATTTACAAAAAATTCCAAAATTTGCTCACGCTACAGATTTTCGAGTTGAAGCATTTTGCTGTAGTAAATAAATCACGACAAATTCGGAAACTACTTGGATCAAGCTAGTAAAAATACACTAAGTACTTCCTGAATAACACATGGGGAAAAGCAATCAGCGAATCATACTACTTTTTCAGAATTTAATTGGACAGATACAGAAATACACTCGCCACTTACGAAAAATTAGGTGAACGGAATTGCTTACGGGAAACTGAGGCGTAATTTCCTGTATTTGATCCTGGCATCAACAGGGACCATGTAATGCAGCGCTGAAAAATTGACCTTCTAAAGATCTGTCCTTTAATTTTCACTTCAGCTTACTATGTGTATTTGGATCACTACTGATCACTGTTCAGTCTTGCCAACCCGGTTCGGATGGCCAGTTCAGTCAACTTGAACTGGGCAGCCCAGCAAATGTTACCGCTCCGCTGGGCAGTGACATACAGTTCATTTGTTGCGGTGGCACCAGATGGACATACGAAAATAAAGATGAGTACCTCACTCGTGAAATCGGTCCACATCCGGACGCGGCCGGAGCACCGGACAAGATATCTGCTCCGCATCTGACGGTGGTGAACGTTGCCCAGGAAACGAACATGGATACGCGGAATGCGGTACCGACCACGGTCTACACAATGCACGATGACAAAGGGCGCTTGCTGTTGATTATCAATAACGCGGACATGCGCGATATGGGACATTATCGCTGCCATGGTCCCACTGGCGTGCAGGACGCTTTCCTTGTGGTAACGCCGGAAAGATACACGGATGATCAATCAAGACCTGCTGTGATCGAGCATGGTTCGTTGATTCCACGACACGTTATGTTTTCTTCAGATCAGTTGAATAAGGTGAGGCAGGTCGTCCCTAGGAAGGTCGCTGGTGACCTGAGGAAATGCTTTTAGGTGGAAGGTGGATTTTTTCCTACGTGATGTTGAAAATGATAAAACCCGGTTTGCTTACCTCGAAAATATGTTTCCTTAGGAACAGGTTTTCATCAGTCCATAGAGGACTTGAGAGGGAAATAGGGGAAACAGATATGATACCATCAATGGTTTTCATGTGCCCGGCTTTCAGATTGCGCCAGGTGGGTGAAACCACAAGGTCCTTATAATAGACCACAAATCGATATTGAGACGTAACTGCAAACAGAAACGGTGTATTTGCTTGCTTACTGGTTACTCTTAAAGTTTTAAAAGTTGACGGCCCAGCGGAAAACTAAAAACCGACCATTATCCTCCATTTGACTAGTGACTGATAATATTCGCCTTGCTAAGGTGAGCTCTCATTGGCGAAATACACTCATTTGCAAACAAATTTGGCTTTGCAAGAGACTCACCAGAAACCCAGCTGAATCTCTCGCTTGTGATGTTTCCAAGCAACTGAATATGCTGCATAAGGTCACCTCACGTTTCAGTTGCGATACGTGTATATTCGTGAAGCACTATTCATGAGGTTGCTGAAAATTATTTGCCAGCTGAAGGTTGCTGGCGAATAGTTTTCAGCAACCTCATGAGTAGTGCATCACGAATGTGAGGTGCCATTGTACCAAACAACATTTCATCACATAGCATAAAAATGAAAAGTAACCACAAATAGATCAATACGTTTTATTCATTCAAAAATGCAGTTCGATTTTTCAGTTGTCCATGAGTTACGTGACAGCTTTGAAGCGATTTTAATTTGTGAATGCTGACCAAAACGTCGATCGAATAGGCTTTCGCACGCAACTGTTTTTAAAAAAACCGGAACGACGTGAAGGACTTTTGTCCTGAACACGACAAAAACACTGCAGTAAAGTTTGCAAGAACCAAATAAACATGCCGTTTCTATCCTAATTGTACAAACGTAGGTCACGGGACTGGGGAATTTTGAACAGCAGAAATATTACAGTTCCCATGGGGTTTCCTCTCAGTCCATACTGCTCTGTGCATTCGGACTGCCACAGTTAATTCAATTACTCCCGCCTTGTTTCTATTGGCCGGTTGGCAACCAATAAAAAAGCGATTATCTTGGCTACTACCCAGTGTAATTTTCTACTTAGGAAAGTAGTAGGCACAAACATTTTTTGAGCCAAATTCTTTTATTCAATTGCATTGGGCATCTACGCGAATCGTCAAAGACAGTGGATTTAAGCTATTACCAGACATACAGGTTTAGATCGCTGATCGCTCGGTGTCGTCAGATTTATGCCTCTTGCTTGGGTTGACGGAACAGACGAACAGATTCCGTCTCTCAGGTTTCGTCTGCAAGAAGTGATGCTTCCTGCTACCAAGTTACCGCCAGTTTATTCGTTGTTTAGTGTTACTTATTATTTTACTGTATGCTTAGTAATAATTTCACTGGGCACTGAGTTTGGCATCTTTCAGTTACGAATTGAATAATGCTCAGCTTTCTTACTTAGCTGTAGTGTCCAGCTCTAAACAGTGTCGTAAACGAGCTCTTGGGTGTGAGTAACTGTAGTGCGGTTTTATCAATGTGTTGATTACCGAAACGTGAAATTGAAATTCGATTAGATACGACCATTAACCGATAACCTGAGTCACACGAAGCCTTGTCTCCTGTCGCGCGTTAGCTCAGATGAGTTCACTTCCGCCCCCGGCTATCGTACTTGTGGCCGACCAGGTGTGGTAGTGTTGTGTAAGACTTGTGCTCCTAGTGGCAGAAGGGGCTACATTACAAAAGTGGCCAGCTATCAGTTTAATTTGGCACACATTTGACGTTACACGTATCACTTAGACATACGATTGGTGTGGGCCGAACACACTGCCCGAGAAGTTGCGATAAACAGTCAGCTAATGGGTATTGCCACGGAGCGGTCATTCGAGGCTTCAGGCTTAATACCCGCAAACTTCGAAAGTAAATAGTTTCGCGCATACGGGCTGATTAGGTTTTGTCCACTCAACTCGCATACCATATATCGGGATTTCTAATCCTACTATGATCGACGACATCTACTACTGATAGGCTACTATAAAAGCCAAACCACTATCAACTGATCGGTTTGCCGAGCCTGGCAATTGGCTTGCAAACGTCAATTATTAAACTTAGAGAACAGATCAACAGACACCTGATCAACAACCAATAACGTTCTTGCCAGCCGTGAACGTTTTGGGATGATCTCATAGATGACTATGAAGGCTGTGAGGTTATCCATGTGGTGTCCCGTGTCTATCGGGTGAGCCAAAACCGAGCTGTGATTGTGTCGCACATGACATCATTCGCGAATCAAGCTGGGAGGGTTTCAGACATTTGTTTACATGACGGGCTTGTTTCTGCTTCACGGAGGAAAACAAGCTGGCAGACACGCACATGAACTGGTCTGGAGGGGCAGTCTGGTAGAGGTTATTCTTGCGCAAAGCGTGCCCCTGAACATCCTCGTAAGCTTGGACGTCAACAACTGGTTGTTAGGATCCCGTGTGTATGGCAGACGAGGCTGGACAGGCATTTCTGGCGGCATCATGGTCATAACTCTTGTCGCATGTGACTCTTTTCAGGATCCTGTCGGAAAAGCCATTGTCGCGAAGGATAATTTGGCGTGCTTTGCTCTTTCATTGAAGTGTTGAAGAGACACCGGGTTAGATTGCCATTCATCTCAACTAGGACGGTGCTTGGGATATCATCATGGTGTTCTACTTGATTTAGCAGTAGGTAATAGATCCCATGGTTCCACCTACGGAAAGGTTCAGGAGTGTACTTGAAAGTTGTGGAGATTTCGTCCTGTAAGTGAAGCTAATCTATGCTGAAAACCGAGAAGTTGCGATAAACAGTCAGCTAATGGGTATTGCCACGGAGCGGTCATTCGAGGCTTCAGGCTTAATACCCGCAAACTTCGAAAGTAAATAGTTTCGCGCATACGGGCTGATTAGGTTTTGTCCACTCAACTCGCATACCATATATCGGGATTTCTAATCCTACTATGATCGACGACATCTACTACTGATAGGCTACTATAAAAGCCAAACCACTATCAACTGATCGGTTTGCCGAGCCTGGCAATTGGCTTGCAAACGTTTCGTCACCATACGAAGAGACATCCTCAGTGCGCACTGATGATGTCTCCTCGTACAGTGACGAAACGTTTGCAAGCCAATTATTAAACTTAGAGAACAGATCAACAGACACCTGATCAACAACCAATAACGTTCTTGCCAGCCGTGAACGTTTTGGGATGATCTCATAGATGACTATGAAGGCTGTGAGGTTATCCATGTGGTGTCCCGTGTCTATCGGGTGAGCCAAAACCGAGCTGTGATTGTGTCGCACATGACATCATTCGCGAATCAAGCTGGGAGGGTTTCAGACATTTGTTTACATGACGGGCTTGTTTCTGCTTCACGGAGGAAAACAAGCTGGCAGACACGCACATGAACTGGTCTGGAGGGGCAGTCTGGTAGAGGTTATTCTTGCGCAAAGCGTGCCCCTGAACATCCTCGTAAGCTTGGACGTCAACAACTGGTTGTTAGGATCCCGTGTGTATGGCAGACGAGGCTGGACAGGCATTTCTGGCGGCATCATGGTCATAACTCTTGTCGCATGTGACTCTTTTCAGGATCCTGTCGGAAAAGCCATTGTCGCGAAGGATAATTTGGCGTGCTTTGCTCTTTCATTGAAGTGTTGAAGAGACACCGGGTTAGATTGCCATTCATCTCAACTAGGACGGTGCTTGGGATATCATCATGGTGTTCTACTTGATTTAGCAGTAGCTAATAGATCCCATGGTTCCACCTACGGAAAGGTTCAGGAGTGTACTTGAAAGTTGTGGAGATTTCGTCCTGTAAGTGAAGCTAATCTATGCTGAAAAACCGAGAATTACTGTACAGCTGTTTCCTCCTTATTGGGAATCATCATCAGTGCGCATCTCACGAAACTCCGCAGAGTCTCGAACCCGCGACCACCTGGCTAGTAATTTGAACACTCAATCCTTCGGCCACGGGCGGCTGATCAGCAGTGTAATTAACTCGCACTTAGACAGCATAGATTAGCTTCACTTACAGGACGAAATCTCCACACACAAAAATCCCAAATCTTCTCACACTACCGACAATTTATAAGTAGCTCAGTGGAGGAATAAACTTCAGCCGATGAGTGAAACTTCCATCTGAGAAGTCGTTACTCGAGGAGCCGGTCAACACCTGTGACCGCGTGATGTGGATCCCGTGGTTGAAGGATGGGCGGCGCTATATCCTGTCTAAGTGCGAGTTAATCCCACTGCTGATCAGCTTCCCGTGGCCGAACGGCTGAGTGTTCAAGCTACTAGCCGGGAGGTCGCGGGTTCGAGGCTCTGCGGAATTTCGTGAGATGCGCACTGCTGATGATTCTCAATAAGGATGAAACAGCTATACAGTGTTTCTCAGCTTTTCATCATAGATTGGCTTCACTTACAAGACGAAATCTCCACAAAAGAATTCCAAAAACCCCCTCACACTATTAACAGCACTTGAAGGTACCGGTTCAAGTTCGAAAGAAGATGGATAAGTCTTTGAAGCGCAAACTACTGAACTGAAGTTTAGATGCCGCATGGAGATTTTCAAAGATGTTACCGTGCTGAATGTGATATCTCTAAGCCTTGTCACTGAGTCATCAAACAAAACTGGAGCGGAGATGACCCCATGAGGTCCTCATCTATAAAAATGTTCCTCGACATAATGAAGTGCGTGAGCAGATCTCTGATGAGTTTTGCGAATCTGCCTTGTTTTTTAACGTTTTTAAACAAAATTCGAATAGTATCTACTTTAGGCGAGCCAATTGTTGCCACAGAATAGCTTTCGATTGATCTAAGTTATATTATACGTTTAATGCACAAGGAACTCGCTAACCGCACAATTAGTAGGCAATGTTATGATAAGCAGAGCGGTTTCATATTTATCGACTCAGCACATCGTCTACACGGACTCTGTTAAATCACATCACCTATGAAGCAAATGTCTTCGCTCAGTTGCTGGATCCTTTACGTAAGATTACCAAAGCCTATCTGTTTATTCTGTCGTCAGGCTCATTCAAATGTGCGAACACTGTTCACAGATATTGCTATTCTTTATAGGTAATTCTGAATTGTCCCATCACCGATCGATCGCATGTCATCCAATCATGGTTGTGGCGAGAACCCATACTCCCAAGTTCAGAGGAATTCTTGAAGGTTCCTCAGGGCAAACCACCAAGCCGTACGGTGACAGCCAATCGGGCAGGGCTGCACGAGGGAGGGCATGTGGAAATCGGTCCAAATCTGGCCTGGGCCAGAATAGTGGATCCGCTGTCACCAGAGGCCCCGGTCAAACTCTGGTGTCAGTTTGAGAAACCGGTGGCGTGGGATAACAAGGTGAGTGTGAATACAAGTCCACTGAGTTGCTGGGTGTAGATGAGATGTGAACTTTCTCAAAAGTTTGTGTTGTCCATTCGTACTGAACACCTAGAATGATTCGAAAGGGTGTAAGTGGCAGCTAATGAAAACAAACTTTTGATCACACCTGACTTGCTTACACCCATCAACCCATCGATTATTCAGGTTAGAACAACTGGGTTCAACGCTATCCAATGCTAGTTCGTCGGGTCTTCATCTGTACTACGCTATAGGATGCCCCAGGTTGTTGATAAGATTGGGATCGGTAAAACAGATTTATCAAACTGCACTGTTAAAAGAACGGGAGAGACGAGATTTCATCGGATTGGCCTTTTGTCCAAATGTTTACAAAGAAAGCTGAAAGGGTGAGAAGCATGGGGCTTTAACTGTTTTATTGCTGTGACTGGCCGGCCGCTTGCTGCCTAAATTATTCGACTGGAGCGATGTTCCTCTGGTGGTCAATGTAGATAATCGACGTATACGCTAAATTAGCCTCTTTAAAATTGATCCTAGATGTAAGGCTATCACATGAAAGGACAACCGCGCTTGTCTTTCAGGCGTACCCTTACAGAAATGACCGAATGTGAACATAACTCTGTGCCCATTCTGAAGGGAAACTCAGCTCCCTTCACTGACAACGAATACGGGTGATCAAGATATATTTGACAGATGGTTGACTAGCTTTTTCTACTGGATTCATCACTTGTGTGCGGAAACAAACTGCACTAATTTCAAAACTGGCAAAATTCAGTTTTCACAATCAGTTTCTTGAAATTGCAGTCCGGCGCGCGTAAGTCACTCCATAGGTGCTACTGTATTTTGAATGCGTAATGACTGGCGACCCTCAAGTGTGGAAAAAGTACTGAATTTTAAGCACTAACTGTATAACAAATTGTATTTGATTGATTAGAAGCTATTTAAACCTGACTATGTGTCACCATCAATACAAGGGCAATCGCTGTCGTCGAAGTAACGGGATATCGGTTTTAGTTCGGTTTGCTTGTCAGATTACCTATTTGTCAGCCTCAATCAAGGGTAATCATTCAACTCGAGATTAAGGTGTCAGCCTGCTGACCAGAAGATCTGTGGTTCGAAACCACACTAGTGGTCTCAACTGCACCTGTCTAGCCTTCGGCAACCTGGCAATATCTCAGCCCTTGTGCCTTCACTGAGTGACATGTTAACCAGGCATAGAAAGAGTAGTCCATCTGCGGTAATGGTTCTGTCATGGCAAACTTGTCAGTGTCAGTCGTACTATGCTCAGGGCGAAATAACTTTGTAAGTCCTCGATCCCTAGGTTAAATTCACAACGGTTTGTTGGCATGCATAGCTGTTATGCTGTACTGTGAGCACATAACTTTTATCCGCGCTGTGCAAAGTTCAAGGTCGTTCTTTATGAACTTTTGGTTCCACGGAACAACGAGACTATTTGCCAGTAATAAAGAAAGATCTATACGTTTCTCAAGGACTTTTCAAAGTACTTAATTAAGGTTTCAACAAGAGGCAATCTGGAAGAGAAATTTGGGACTCTTCCAATAGCTATGCAATAAAGGGTTCAAGTGGAACATAAGGTTGGTGCAAACTCGGGGAGTGCGCCTACCTGATGAGCACCCAAGAAGGGTGAAACCGGTCGTGGGCTGTCAAAGAGTTTTCAGCAAACTTGTGAAAAACTTATGAAAAAAGGCTTTGAAAGTTTACTTCCCAAATTAGCTACAAAGTTCAACCCTAGTAAGTCTTCCACTGACTTTCTTGAAGAAAGGTAATGTTCCTGGAAAGACCCAAAGGATATTTTCTGCCAGCCACGACTCAATGTGGCATTCGCAGTTCCAAAGAAGAAGGCCTTAATGCCCCCCACCTTGCATCTATCATTTTCCAAGGGATTTAAAAGGAATAATTTATTCTCAGTGTAGCCTTTCAACTAGTTGTACTATCATATATATATTATATATATTCATATTCATATCACTCTCGTTTGGACATAATTATTCTGATGAGTACACGCCTAAGGGGGAAGCACTGGACTCGAGTTTCGCCCTTATTAGACCTAATCAGCGCCCGGACTTGAACTCCGGACATCTGACATGTGAGGTGAACGTGTTAACACTGCTCCATTTGTACGCATCTGAATTTCCATGTCTGAACAGGCGAACGTGTTTACGCTTGAGCGATCTGATCGGTGTGTTCTACTCATCACCGAACGGCGATGACGATCCGATAACATAACTTGGTTGTGACGATCGATTGACTCGCCAGTCAGGACTTTCCACTCAGGTAGTACCACAGAAGCTTGACACCCTTTGGATAACTTTTCGATTTCTGTCTTGGGGTTCGCGAGCCAGGTATTGTTCATATTCTTATCACTCTCCTTTGAACGGATGCGGAAAATCATGTGCGTCCAACGTGCACTGGTGGAGTAGTGTCAACACGCTCGCCTCGGATGTAGGTGGCCGGGGTTCAAGCCCAGGCACGGCCGTTAAATGGTCAGCGCTGATAACCTAGAGTCCAGTACTTTTCCCCTTTATTTCGAACTCACCAGAACAATTATGTCAGGACAGAAGGACGAGTGTTCAAACGAGAGTAATGCGGATATGATTAATTCGTATACCCAATACCATACTTGTTGAATCTTTCCGCTAAGCAGCTAGATTTAACACTTTCAACATCTCCGGCAAGGATGAAAGAGTCGTGCATTCCGTTCACACGGGCTGAATGTGTCACTAATAGGAACTTGAGATTTACTCATAACGGAAGATTCCTGATATGCTGGAATTCATTCCTCTAGAAAGAGCTCCGTTTCGGTCTGTATCCATATTATTACTGAGTTTGTTGCAACTTGCCTGTCACAGTACGCGAGTCATCCGCTTCGCTTGTAGGAAAATGAAGGCAGACGACACGCTTGGTTGAAACCTGATTCATCTTCGAAGTCAAGCTCCTCAGCAAACACCTCGCTTGATTCCCCGTCTGTAGCAAGTTCGTCTGTTCAGAACTTACCCAAATGGGTTCATGGTGTGCGGCAGTAGATCGGCCGGAGAACTCTGTTCATGCGTGAATAGTTAATGCACTGCAGTTCCCCTAAAATTTGAGCAGAACATTCTAGAACATTCTAGATCACTGGAAAGACCTCCTACAACGATAACAATGAGCCAAATATGGAGAGCTATTACACGACTGTGGTCAGCACATTCGTCCAGATTATTTAGTCACCGCTGATTCCCCGTAGCAAGTTCGTCTGTTCAGAACTTACCCAAATGGGTTCATGGTGTGCGGCAGTAGATCGGCCGGAGAACTCTGTTCATGCGTGAATAGTTAATGCACTGCAGTTCCCCTAAAATTTGAGCAGAACATTCTAGAACATTCTAGATCACTGGAAAGACCTCCTACAACGATAACAATGAGCCAACTATGGAGAGCTATTACACGACTATGGTCAGCACATTCGTCCAGATTATTTAGTCACCGCACTCAAAAACCGACCTTCTGTCAAGGATTTGAAGAGGGTGGAAAAATAAAAAAGCGTGTGGAGTGATCCACTGTACTATATGACCAGCTTGTTGTGCCAAGCCCCAAGACCCACAAGTCAAAATATGCACTTTCTGTTATTGAGTACAACTTGATATCATGATAAGCACCCACCTCCCAATCATTTGTCTAGTCCGCCCTGGTAATCTTGATCCTCACATTTATGTATGCATGTGTATCAGTGACCCATGCGTGTTTGTGCCCAGTCTGTTGGGCCTGTTCCGACCTGCTCTGTCGTGAGTTCCGTGTGATCGCATAGCCAATCAGAATCACGACAGCGACCTTGAAGGGATGACCAGATTACATACTACCGAGCCAACATTTCACTCACCGTTGTTTGGTTTGCGCGTCTAGACTGTCAGTCGATGACAGACTTGCGCACTTGTTGACGCCACGAGCAAGGACAGCTGAGGTTTGCTGCGTTGTATTGCTTATCTTGGCTAAACAGCATCGTAGACTTTCGAAACCAATTCTTACTTTTGATTTATTCGGGATTGTCAAACTTACGAATGACTCCCGTCTGGGGTACCTCATTACCTATTATTATATGATTGTCATAGTAAAGAGATTTGGTTGACCAGTTGAACAAAAATCGAATCATACCCTCTTAAAGCACGCCAACCGCTTCCAGGCTCACACCACTGCCCAATTTGGTTATCGCAGGCATGGAACCAGGAGAGAACTATTACACTATTTGTAACTCAAGTTTTTTCCCGCACATTATTACTTTGAATCCGCGCAACAAATGTGTTTGCACTTTCCAGGAACCTGTGGTCGCCTACTACGTGTTGGACTGGGAATTATATGAGCCAATCGCGCCGAAAGTATTCCTATTGCCTTTACAAGAATGGAGCCCAACTGGTGTTCCCGGCTTACAAGCACCACTCGGAGACGCAACAGTTATAATTCAGACACCGCCGTCCCCGTACGACGTCAATCCTGCAGTGATCTCTCATCAGATTGAACAGGCCGAAATGCAACAAAGGTCAGGCGCGAAGGTCATTGTATTGGAACACAAGCCAGCACGGTTTGTTTGTCGTTTTCGAAAAATCGATCGAAGTGGCCTGGCACAACCTGAGGTGGTCGAACAACGGTTGCCACCTCAACAAGTCTACTGGTACCGTGGCGGCCAATCGGTACATGTTCCTCCATTTCACGTGGACAACAGTCTAGTCACCGCGTCCGGACTGTCTATTCTTGATGTGAGGTCATACCCAACCATGTCAACGCGAGATGGCGAATTGCAAAGCTTTCAAGTACCTAGGGAAACGATCACCTGTGCTGTTACCAGTGAGGTGAAAAGTGACCCAGTCTACAAGGTCACAACCAACGCCAGGTGAGTACAAGTAGCGTATTGAGTACAGAATCGTCACACAGTTGCTCAAATCTTGTTCCTTCATACTTAAGCATAATCTGTGACAGTCCAAGAGTGTATTCTGCACCAAACTTCCCTGGAATATGCAGCTTTTTTCAAGCGTATTAACCAGATCAATTCACCGTTCGTTCTAAGTTGAACGACCCGTGTAATTAAAAACGGAACTTACCACAATATGTAACCCGTCCCCACTCATACTACTCGCAATTCTGCATTTCATCGTCACTGATGTTCGAAGCGAAGAAAAGGAAGTAGTATCTCCACAATTCAGTAAAAGTTCAGAGAGTGAAATGAATTTTTCGTGCACTCGCAATTGCGGACTTTGTTTAAATTTTCATGCAGTCTGGCGGAAAATTGTGGTTTGAAAACGGGCTCCTAAAACAAGACTCGTTCATGAAGTCGCTTGCATATGAAACATCCTGCGGTTAAAGGTCGAGCACTTTCATACAGATGCTTGTTGTATGGATGTACTGGAAAGTTTTTCGAAAATCGGACCACGTCGAAATCGGATGTGCCCGAACAGGTTATATCCGACGACCAGCTGGAACGCCGTGAATAACTTTTTTTTCGGAAGAATATGTCATTAAGGTAACTTTGAAGTCCATACTAGGCAATGTTTACTTTGCGCCGCGACTATTCCATTTGACTGAGGGAATCTCGGGAGTCGTGGAGTACCCCGCATACTGAACAGTCTGATGCACTTCACTGCATAGACGTTGATGAAAATTCTTCGATAGCTCACGACCGGTTCCGCTTTTTTGAGGGCTCATCAAGTAGGCACAGTTTCCGGACTGATATTGGCAATAAACTGAATTGCAGATCAATACGGTCTTGATGGGAGACTCACCTGGTGCCCAGTCGTTTATGATGTTCTTAGTCGATTGACCCCACGGAGTGCACTGCGATCTCTCGAATGTTGTGCCAACTGAAACAGGAGACAGCCTGATTCGGCACGTATAGTGGAATAATAGTATCATAAACACAGTCGTTTAGTTCTTAGTCGATTGACCCCACGGAGTGCACTGCGATCTCTCGAATGTTGTGCCAACTGAAACAGGAGACAGCCTGATTCATTCGGTATAGTGGAATAATAGTATCATAAACAAGAAGTTCAGCTGAATTCCAAGGGAACCATCCGTCAAAACCAAGTTTGTATGCAGACGAATGTGTAAGCCAACCGACGAATTTCAATTTATCGTAAGTTTTAAAGTGGCAGCTGGCTGATGACAAATTCTATTCCAGGGTATGCTAATTGAGTCCCTAAAATT